TATGTTTCTTTACCTATCTCTTTCTTCACTCAGTGAAATGTGAAATGCAGGAAAATTGAGTACATAAAGTTTCTCAGGTTCAACAAAGTGTAGAGTTTTCCTGAAAAACACTTATGATTAAAGATACAACCTAAAAGTGTTCCAGGAAGGTGCTGTGATGTTGTGGTAGACTTTTTTAGTAACCCATCCTGGTATAGTTTTAACAGCAATATTTCATACCTCATGCTGGTCATTTTCATGTGGTTCATTGTGGACTTCCCTCTAGGTCATCAAGTGCAGGGCAGCAGTGGCCTGGGAGCCCAGAAAGCCTTTGGTGATCGAGGAGATAGAGGTAGCCCCGCCCCAGGCCAACGAGGTCCGCATCAAGGTGAGAGGCCACTATCAAGACACACACATACATACAACGGTGTGTTACAACACTGTTAGTGTCGGGATGACTATGAAAAAGTTCTTAGTGCAGCCATTAATAGCCATTCAGTGATACTGTACGTCTGATATAACTGCTGATTAACAAATATTAATGATGTGAAAGCATCGCTAGTAATAATCTCATCTGTCTGTCCCCTTAATCGTTGTTGTGTTTTCAGAGTTTGGTTACGGTCTTCATTGCAGATTGTGGCGACCGCAGTGTGCCGTTCGGACCTGTACTACCTTTTGGAGAATATGCATGAAGACGGCTACCCAACCATCCTCGGCCATGAGGCGGCTGGCATCGTAGAGAGTGTCGGGCCTGGAGTCACTGAATTTCTACCAGGTCAGTTTTAAATTGCTCAATATTTTGGGAAATGCACTTGCGTTCTTTCTGAGAGTGAGATGCAAAGATTGAGTGTCTCACGTCGAGTACAGAGCTGGGACGTGTTTAGCTTAGCATAAAGGGTGGAAGCAGCTAGCCTGGCCCTGTCTGGGATGTCACTTTTCAACATTCAGTCCAACGTGGGAAAAAATAAATATTTGAACTACAATGATCTGTTTGAATTCAAAAGTTACAGTCTACCAGACCATCTGAGAAGCATATGGTATTACGTCATATGGGTCGCAGTCAAATTAGTCAAACACATTGTACTTTAGTAATTTAATCCTTACGTTAACAGAATGTCTAATCAGTATTTGGGGGGATTAGTGGGGATGTGCAGAGAAGCACACTGAGGTCTATCTCTGCTGTTCTGCCCATATTTTTTTTTTACATTATTCTAAAAGTTTGTGTGAACATTTTTTGACAGTCACAGCGCAACATTGTGAATTTCAGGAGACAAGGTGATCCCTCTGTTCATCTCCCAGTGTAGAGAATGTCGCTTCTGTAAGAGTCCCAAGACCAACCAGTGTGAAAAAACATGGTGAGCTTCATAATATTCGGCTCCTGGCATCTTTTCTCTTCGTTCTTTGATGTCTTTGATGTGTCACAGAACCAATTTTGAATTTTCAATTGATTTGGATTGATTTTCAATGTCAAATATTATCTTGTTGAGTTCCCTTGTCCGTCAGGAGGGGATGCCAGCGCCAGACTCCAGGTTTACCTGTAAGGGGAAGAAGGTGCTGCCGTTTGTGGGCACCAGCACCTTCTCTGAATACACTGTGGTGAACCAGATCGCTGTGGCTAAGATCGACCCCGCTGCCCCTCTGGACAAAGTCTGTCTCCTTGGCTGTGGGATTTGCACTGGATATGGAGCAGCAGTTAATACTGCTAAAGTATGTACGTTTGACTTTTGGAAATAGTTATCAATATCTATATATTGAAACAGCAGAATAGAACATTGTGTGTTCTGTGCCTAGAAATTTGGAAGTTTTTGTCACATAAAAGAATGATCTTTTTAATTCAAATGATTGTCGAGATTGAAAAGCCTCAATCATTACGAGACACAAAGCCCTCCAAACTAAAGTGCCATGCTGATGAAACACTCTTTTACTAAAGGTTGAACCAGGCTCCACCTGTGCTGTGTTTGGCCTGGGAGCTGTGGGTTTGGCTGCAGTCATGGGCTGCAAGGCTGCAGGAGCCAAAAGGATTTTCGCTGTTGACATCAACCCAGACAAGTTTGGGAAGGCCAAGGTTTTCGGTGCGACCGACTTTGTGAACCCCAAGGATCACGATAAACCCATCAGCCAAGTGCTGACTGAGATGACTAATGGAGGAGTGGACTACTCCCTGGAATGTATCGGCAACGTGGACATCATGGTAAGGAGATTAGTCGTAATCTGGTTTGAGAATATAATTAAGAAATATTACTTAACTATAAGTAACTAACTCTATATCCACTGACTTTGTGCTGTCTCTCCTCATCTAGCGCAGTGCCTTGGAGTCCTGTATTCCAGGCTGGGGTGTCAGTGTGATTGTTGGCTGGACGGATTTGAAAGACTTTGCTGCCCGACCAGTTCAGCTCATCGCTGGACGCACATGGAAGGGCTCCCTGTTTGGAGGTGAGACAGATATTTATTTATTTTATTAATTTGTTTATTTGATAGGGACAATGCATGTTATTGAACATCAGTATAAAATACACAATGTAAACATGCATGACTGTAGCAAAAATGCTGATTTACATCTGTAGTTCCTGGGCAGGTAACATGAAGCAAAACACATGATAAGTAAAAATACAAAAATACAAATATAAAATAAACAAATAAAATGAGAAATACATTTTGAGTTAAAAGTGATCACGGATCCGGTTTGACTTAAACCAATGTTACCAATATGTAGGACACTGCAAAAAGGCAAGTGCTAAGCCATTCCACTATTTACTTCCTCAGGCTTTAAGAGTAAGGATGGCGTGCCTCAGATGGTTAAAGCCTACCTGGACAAGAAGGTGAAAGTGGACGAGTTCATCACTCACAACATGACTCTGGACCAGGTCAATGACGCCATTGAACTGATGAAGAAAAGCAAATGGTAGATTTACACTTCTCCACTTTCTTCATCATTATTAGCTCAATAACAACACAGATACAGTATCAATAGGTGAAGGTCTGCTCACTGTTATTTTTTCTCTTCTCTGCAGCATCCGGACAGTCCTGAGTGTCTCTCCACAGTAAGACCACTCTGTTGCTTTCAGTGACGCCGAAGTAATTCAGGAATTCACCACAGAATTTCAATGTAATATTCATACAAATAATACAATTCACATATTAAATTTATCTTTCAGTTTATACAGTATACATGCCAGATGTTTTGACAGCCATGCACAGTATATTATGAGCTGTGAGCAAAAGCTAAAGATGTCAAGAGTGTTTATGGAGCAAAATAAATGAAATAAACAGAAGGGGTCTCTGGCCTCCTTGTCTGGCTTGATTGTGTTGTGTGTCAGATTAACAATGTCTGTGAATACTCTATTAAACTAGAACGGCACTCAGTAGCCAAACATTTTCTTTCACCAGATCAAGATTTTGTGTCCGGGATGTGTGCAGATCCGGATTATTATCTGGATCTGCACCAAACTATACAGACAAGTAGATCTCAACACGATAAATATGTCTGATTACACTTCCACATTAATACACACGTCTTGAGAAATTGACAGAAAGGTCGAAAAATGCCCTGTCTTGCATTGTTAAGGAAAATTATATTAAAAATGAAATTCATGTGTCCTCTCCTTTTACTGGATCGACACCAAAATGTAATGGGTTCTTCCTTGGCCCGTGCCCCATCCCTCCACCAAGTTTGGTGCAAATTTATTTAGTAATTTTTGCATAATCCTGCCGACAAACAGACAGATACGGGTGAAAACACAACCTCTTCGGTGGAGGTAACTATTTTCAGAATGTCAGTCAAATAGTTTTAGCTCCGATTTACACAGACGAGCCTAATTATAAGAAAGTTTGCTTAATTTAACAGGCAGCACTGTAGTTATTCTGCCAGGATTTGAGACCATAAAACTACTTCTAATAACAACTGATGTTGGTGAATGTGAGATTTAATGGTGAAGAAATTACAGTTCCTGATTGCACTCTCCAAATGTGCCATGAATATTATCATCATCTCATTTCGGTTTATGCTCAGTAGATTCACTGTGGTTGCATTGATGCAATCTCGCACAAACAATACCAGGCCGCAAAAATAAATAAGTAAAACCGGGGCAAGAGTAGGTCAGCATACATGTCATCTTTCTAATTTGTCTGGCAAAAGTAGCACCACACCCTCTTATTCATTAATTTCTACATGTAGATCTGTGGTCATCTAACCACCGTTGTGGAAGAGCAGAATCTTTACTGTATTTTTTCTTTTCTTTTTTCTTTTTTCTCATGACTGGCCAAATTGAAAATACTTCCACAAAATTAGATAGAACATTTTCTTCCATAACAGCAATTAGTTTTACTATTTGGATCATTGGGATTCCACATATAACCAATGGACCTACAGAATGGGAATAAATCAAGAGATATTATCTTTCCTTGGCAATATATTGCTTTTCGATTTCTTTATACCAGTAACTCTGCATGTGCAACTCTGATATGGAGCTGATCTGGACTCTGAGCCTCATTAACTGTCATTGTGTGTTGGTGGGTAGAGCATACAGCCTCTTGAGACAATGGGAGAAGCAGATGTGATTGGCTATGATTGCTACAGGACCCTGACCAACAACCATAACAAACCCAGTAATGTACATCATGATAATGCATCCTGCCAAAGCCTTGTTTCCATCTGCTTCTGAATCTGGTTAATATCAAATAGATACCTTGTGATTTAGAGGTAACAAATTTTAAAATGATTGAAACCTAGGTTACTTTCGGCCTCCATACATGTCTTAACAGGAATCACAAACTAAAGGTAACCTGACATTCAAACATTCAAGAACCTATTGCAAATGTTTGTGTGTGTGTGTGTGTGTGTGTGTGTGTGTGTGTGTGTGTGTGTGTGTGTATACACAGTATATATGACCTCTGTAGATAGATATGAGGGAGGAAATGAGCATTGTGTAAAGTGGAAAGATATGCAGCAGCAATGTTTGGACACGCCACCCAGCCCACAGAGGCAGGGCCCTTCTTTGTGATTGGTCTAAGCCGTAATAAAACGCACACTCTTATCTAATCCTGTGAGGGACAAGCCTGGTTGTGAAACAACATGGCAACTGCAGGGAAGGTAAGCATGCTGACTTCTCCTCACATGCAGTCAATTTCTGCGGGTGTTTGAACGGCTTTGAGACGTTCAGCACACAAAAACACTGTTAGGACTTTTCGTCAGCTCGGTCAAATGTTTGTGGAGTAGAGGGGAATGTTTACAGTGCAAGGATATGTTGGGCGGGTTTGAATCTGAACAGCCCGTCTGTTGCACACTTTCACAATCTGTAATAGAGTCACTGGAAAGTTTTGTGTGTCTCTTGGAAGACTTCTTTGGCTGAGACTTCTGGTTCAGACTTCCTGTTGTTGCAACATTTCCGCACAAGGTCAGACAAAAAGGTCAATGTCTTAAAAATGGTTTTCTATGGTTGAGTTAAATTCAGCCTGGGGCGAAACAAAGGCAGAAGAACAGAGCCTGTTGTCTGCCGCCCCAAATTTATTTTCCTCCCTCCTTTTAATCACTAACTGCCTCCACTGTATGCGCTGAATGGGTTAAATGTCCAGTGGGTTTGTTATGTTGACAGATTCCAGACCAGCTGAAGCTCTTGGATGTTGTGTTGTAGGTGATCCGGTGCAGAGCTGCAGTAGCATGGGAGGCTGGGAAACCTCTCGTGATGGAGGAGGTGGAGGTGCGACCACCTAAAGCTGGGGAGGTCCGCCTTAAGGTAAAGACTCAGGGCGGATTAGTTTGCAATTTACACCCACATTTGTTATAAGTATTCTGTGGGTGTACAAGATAAAAAAAATAAAAAAAAAACGCTTGGAGCAACTCTCCTCTGATAACAATATATCTTAGATAAGTTACTGTATCAACCCCTATCTATATATACACTGTTTATAGTCTACACCATGTACTGTAACTACCAACAATTACAAGACTTATCTACTGTATGTTTTTGTCATTTTGAATATTTACTGTCCAACACTACAGTGTACTTTGCACCCTGGTTATTCTCTGCTATATGTTGTAAAAAAAAAACAAAAAAAACTCTCCTTTACAGTTACTTTATATCTATTTTAGCTTTACCAAGACAGGTCTGCTCTTTATTATAATACAATCTTTACGCCATTAATATAACCTCAACTTAAAGAGATGCTCACAAATCAGTAATACTTCTAACAAAGTAGAAGACTTAAATAAAAACTCATATTATTATGAGATTTTATTCCGGAAATGATTGATTTCCCCACAGTCCATCAGATGTTCGTGCTCAGGTAATGACATCAGCAGTTTGACATGGTTCTGCATGGATCAGATGCCAGTGCTTTATTTCAGGTCGTGGCCACAGGGATCTGTCACACTGACTCCTACACACTGAGCGGCTCTGACCCTGAGGGAGCTTTCCCCGTGGTGCTGGGCCACGAGGGAGCTGGTATCGTGGAGAGTGTCGGAGAGGGAGTCGTCAAGTTTCAACCAGGTTCCTCCTCTCTTCTCCCGCATAGTTTAAATAGATAACTGCACTGTAAGGGCTCAAATATAACAGTGTGCTTGCATTTTAGGGGACACGGTCATTCCCTTGTATGTGCCACAGTGTGGAGAGTGCAAGTTCTGTAAAAATCCCAAAACCAACTTGTGTCAAAAGATCAGGTAACTGTCCTGGGTTAAAGATCCTCTTGCCTCGCGCCACGCCTCTGAACACTGAACACAACATCCGTGTCTTGTTCTCCAGGCTCACTCAGGGCAAAGGCTTGATGCCAGATGGGACAACCCGCTTCTCCTGCAAAGGCAAGAGCCTCTTCCACTTCATGGGTTGTAGCACGTTCTCTGAGTACACTGTGGTGGCTGAGATCTCCCTGGCCAAAGTGGACCAGAGGGCCCCTCTGGACAAGGTTTGCCTGCTGGGCTGTGGCATCACCACTGGATATGGAGCTGCTTTAAACACTGCCAAGGTAAATCAGCCTCCTCCCCTAACATTAGACTTATTCCAGCCAGGCACTAATATTCATCGTGGGATGTCAATAAATAAGATAATAATTGACTTTCCCAAGAAAAAAAAGCCTTAAAATGAAATCAAAAGTGAACGAATGATGAACTATGAATGGCATGTTGCAAAGCATATTTTCATAGCATCATTGCTTATGTGTTTCATTTGTCATTTTTATCTAAATCCCTTCGTTACCATCCATTTTTGTAGTCCATACATGTCATAAGACTACATAAACAGTTGTTTTGCATTAGTGCATGTGTAATTAAATAGAGTGTACAGATTCAGGTGTGCAGAAGTTGTTTTGTTTATAACTGATTATCCTTTCAGCACGTAGCAAGGGCTTTTAGCCAGAAGAGCCTCGGACACTTGTCATGTTGAAAAGAACATTTTTTCTCTTAGTGTCAGTTGGTCCAATAATTGATAATTCATTCTAACATGTTGTGAATTACCCACAGTTTAGCCTCCACTTTCTAGGCTTGAATACTTTGATTTGATTGATTTTTCCTTTAGTGCCACCATGTTGTTGGCATTTCTGGTTTTGAGCAAAATGACTCAACAACTCTTGGTTGCCATGAAAGTTGGTACAAACATTCTTCAAGAAAAATTACAGTAACTTCGATGATCATCTGACTTTTCACGTAGCGCCATCATAAGGTCTGTACATTATATTTTGTGCTTACTCTGCAGGTGGAGGCTGGGTCGACCTGTGCAGTATTTGGCCTGGGGGCGCTGGGCCTCGCAGCAATCATGGGCTGTAAAGCAGCTGGGGCAACCAGGATTATTGGAGTCGATCTCAACCCTGACAAGTTTCCTACTGCTCGAGAGTTCGGGGCCACGGACACGGTGAACCCAAAGGAGCACTCCAAGCCGATCCAAGAGCTCCTGGTAGAGATGACAGACGGAGGCGTGGACTACTCCTTTGAATGTGTGGGCAATGTGGCAATCATGGTAAGAGGGGAAGTACTAATCCCATATTAGTCACCATTACTAACTAATTAATCTGTGGATGCTGAATAACCACGAATCATGATTGTGTTTAATGGGCCATGGCTTAACAGACAGTTTTATAAAGACATCAGGAAAACATTAGTTATTAATTTGAATACTTCTAGTCCATATAATGAATAATCCTTGCCTACTTCCACCTGTGACAAACCCCACCCTGCTGCTAAGAAAGCCTGCTATACTGTAGCTAAGGCCTTGAGTTTGTGGTCAGGTGCTGTTAGGATCAGAGTGAGTTGATAGTGTCCTAACATTGTTTCTTCATGGCAGAGAGCAGCCCTGGAAGCCTGCCATAAAGGATGGGGCACTAGCGTCATCATCGGGGTGGCAGCAGCCGGACAAGAGATCTCCACCAGGCCCTTCCAGCTGGTTACTGGACGCACCTGGAAAGGCACTGCCTTCGGAGGTAACTGGTTAGATTTTTTTTTTTTTGATTTAAGGACAGCTGATTCAAGATAAATATATTTAAAAGTGTTATAGGTATTAACTGTGGGTGTGTACAGTATCACTCTCTCTTTGACTCATACACTACTTATATAAATACCCTATATAAAAGACAATCAATAGTTCACCCTACATTTAGCAGCAAATCGAGATTTCAGACACATTAATCATTTTTTATCATTACTAACAAGTGTATTTCCACAAAACTTTAATTTTCACAATTGTATTTGTTCCATTGTGTGAATTTTTGATGGCAGCCTGTGATTCTAGTTATGCTAGTGGTGACACCTTAGGGGTGATCCTCTGACTTTTCATATAGTGGTGTTGGTCAGTCAGTCCACCATTTGCACAGACATTCATGGTCACCAGAGGAACTGATCTTTAAGACTCTGATGATCCCCTGACTCTTCCTCTAGCGCCACCAGCAGGTTGCCATGGTGAAATGTCTCCACAACTATTCACAGATGGTTTATGAGGTTTGAACATTCATGTTCTTCACAGGATCACATAAACTGATTTCATTTTCTTTATCAATCATTAACGATACCGGGGGAAGCAACTGTAATAACTACTAAGGAGCCAAGATGATTTTTTTTTTTTCAAATAAAGGAAATAGTTCAGGTCAGCACCACGTCTGCGCAAACTCTGGTTTGTTTATTTTCCATGCATGAATCATAGTCATTCAACACATCCACTCCATACTCTCACACCCAGCTCTCAGACAGGGGCACATAATGAGCAAATGCCGCACAAAGCAAACTAATCGCTCCTTTTATACAATAAATGCTTTGCAACTCTGGCTGGAAACCAAGCCGTTACACAAGTATTTAAACTGACAGATTTACATTGACAAAGATGTGTAGGTGTAGATTTAGTACAATTAGTCTCCAGTTTGTCACTTTTGATGGAACCGCTGTTGTGTAACTTCTATAAACAGGATTTGTCGTTTGCTTGTACAAACATTTTGCTCTCTGTTGTAATACGAATGTGGTGTGAATCACTTTTTTCCACTTTTCCCAGGATACAAGAGCGTTGACAGTGTCCCCAAGCTGGTGGAGGAGTATATGAACAAGAAGCTCAAAGTGGATGAATTCGTGACTCACACTTTGCCCTTTGAGAAGATCACCGATGGTTTTGACCTCATGCATGCTGGGAAATGGTAAGCCTTGATTGAAGATACACGTCGAAGTTGTTTGTTATGTTAATGTACGTCGCTCTCCAGTCTCCCTCCGGGTAAGGTCTGTTAAGACCTTATGCATCACACTGTTGACGACAAAGCCCAGATGGGATGAGAGGTGTGAGACCTTGAGAGGCTCCATTCAAATAAAAGCACAAATTGTGTCAGTAGTTTATTTTAAGTCATAGAAAAAAAAACTCTTATATTCACAATTTAATCGTGTTTTTTCCTCCTTCAGCATCCGCGTCGTCCTCCAGTTCTAGACGCAGAGGAGCGAAGAAAACCATGATGTCACTCCATGTTTACTTTGCTTAGTTTAATAAATAATCTTTCAGTTCCCTGTCTGATTCTGTTTTATTTGAACAATGCACAGTCAGACACCTCTTTGATCAGCGTTTCCCCCCCCTGAAGGAACACAGAGAGGGAACATTGTGAGGAGATAAAACAGAGGAACCAAAACAAGATTATTCAGAAATATTCAGAGATATCCTTTGATCTAGACGGAATGAATAATAAGGCAGAGCAACAACAAACAGCCAAATGGCATTGGTGTCGGCAGGTTGTTAATCGATAAGGACTTGGTGAATGGGAGCAGCACAGACACAGAGGCCTGGTGAAGCGGTTTAAAAGCATGTTGAAACCACTGCAGATAAAGTCGAGCCTGTTGAAACACTCGCAAACCATCCTTTGATTATTGTCCCTGTAGGATTTGAGCACAAGGTTGACTTTAGTCTTTTGTCTGGTTAACAACGGGTACACAAACTTTTCACTGTAAATTTAAGTGTCTCTAAGCGCGGGGAACACACTTTTCACTTTCTAAAACGTTGACTCAAACTGTAACCGGCTCGAGAGGATTGCTACGACGCCTTGTACTCAGCTGTGCCGCTCCTCGTTAGGCAAAACATGTCAACAGCTCAGCTGATGCTCTACAGCGGAAAAGCAAATATTAGTTTTACCTCTGTGGTGAAGAGGACCGGTCTGATGAGGACACATAATGCTGAAATGGGCGACTCAAAGGACTGTGGGCTTTTTAGCTTGGTGGGGTTAATAAACTATTTCTGATTATCAGTAGGCCTCTCTTCACTGCAGACATAACAGGAAAAGCACAGGTGTAAACTAATAAACATGTCATTTGAAAATAAAGCAGTCAAACAGTCAGTTATTCTTAAAAAAAACTGCAGGATCGGCAGTGGTCCTTTTTTTCATGACTATACAAACAGCCATGAAAAAAAGTGCAACTTATGCAAGAGTCGGTACTTGAGATTTTATGGAGTAAGAATTGCTTTTGAAAACTGAATATGCTACATTAATCTAAATATACAGATAAGATGGATAATAAAGTTTAGTAGTGCCTTGGTAGCCAAATAGTTACAACCTGCAGCAGAGGTCCCAGACCTCGCTTCCTGTCTGTTTTAAAGATAAAGTTTAGAGTCTGACTTCTACAGTAAATCCTGCATTCATTCATATAAAGCAAAAATAATTATAGTGACTGCACTTCACTGCATTAGTTAATTTTTCCTTTCAGTATTTACCAGCACACAACCTCCTATCATTATTACAGTTTTTGTACATTTTAACAAATGAGATATAACATGAGAGTAAGTGAGCTTCAGAGGTGCTGGTTGGTGGGTTTTCTTACCTTTGGATAGATTTCCACTGTTTTCAGGAGTGATGGGAACCAGATCACTTGTCTCAGCTCTGCAATAAGAGTTGGCTCCACATTTAGTAACACTTCTGGCTTTTATATTCCAGCCACATTTAGCAATGTTTTGACTGGTGTGTGCATGTATACGTATCACTTCAATTATTCAATGTCTTTATACTAAACTTTATCATTTCCAGAATACCATTATTTTATATTCTGCCTGGTGTAGAAACAGTAATGTAAAGTTACTTTAAAAAAATTACTAATTAAAATATAATTAAACTTTATTGTGTAAATTAGCTGGCTTTTCCATGCTCAGTAGCAGCACTGTTGCATAAACTGTTCTAGTATGTTTTTTTGTTATTAAAATGGATCCAAATGCTACTTCGTTTGTGACTGTCACTCATCTTGTTTTGTGCTGTTCACTCATTCCTCTGCGACCCCTCTCCCTTTTAACCTGGGTCTCACGGCACACACAACATTTAGTCAGTGCATGGAGTGTCCATGGCCGAGCAGTGTGGCAAAAACACCATCCCATTATTACTATTATTGTTAAAGAATCAATTAACAGAAAAAGACGAAGCTCACAGATGGGAGCTAGTTCCCATTGTCTTTACGCTAAGCTAATTACCTGCAGAGGCATAAGAAAGATATCGATCTTCATGTATAACTCTAGAAAGCAAATAAGCATATCTCCCAAAATGTGAACTATTCTTTTAATCATCCAATATATAGTAAGCTCTTATCATACTGTAATGTTGGAAAGCATATCAAATCAAACTCAAGTGCAATTGACACAATTGTAAGACATTCAATACACTGCAACAGTTTGACAGTAATAAGTAAAGAAATAGCATTTCTCTGTCCCTCTTTTTTCTTTCCATGACATTTGAAAAATATGGCATCTGTGATGAAATGATTAGCTAACTATGTTGCAATGCTGCTCACAGACTTATGTTATCCAGTGATTTATGTGTCTAGTAATTGAAGCTTTTGCTACTGTGAGGCATCTATATTGTGACGACAGAGAATTACATTTTTGCACTCTGTATGTAAGGACTGCATTTTGAATGACACTGGCTAAAACTATGTAAACTACACCTGGTCTTTTCCTGACAGGACAAGTTGAAATGACAACCATGAAAATGGCTTACTCAAGTTTGTACCATTGTTCATTAATGTGCTGTGCTAGTCCTGAATTCTAATGTCACAGTGTTTTATCGAGTCATTCTTTTCTGCTGAATCACAGCTGTTTCCCACAGGAGCAGAGGCATCACTTTGTATGAAAACAACTACCACCTACTTCATTCTATAGCATAAATTATAATGCATTAGTCACTGCAAACAAAGTCACAGTCACACTAGTGTCACTTGGGTGTGAACAAATAATTAATACAACTGCATGTGAGAATATCTTTGTCCTCCATTGAGTTTAAATAAGGCATTAAGTCTGACAGGCATCCAGAGGGTTACATCTAGTCATAAAAGGCTGGTAAATTAAACTTTGAGATTTATATCACGTATCTATTGAAAAGGACAGACTCACCCATACAGAGCTAAAGAAGAGTCATTTATTACTCCATTAGAAGAAATACAAAGATGGCAGAGAAACTGTGATCACATTAGTCCTCTGAAAATGTAGAAATAATGAATGCTGCTCACACCAGGAAAATCCCCACATCAAGGTAAATGGTGACTGTCGAAATATGGGGGAAATATCAGTCAACGTGCCTCGAGACATCTGGCAACTTTTAATTCCTAGATTCACACATTAAGGCTCAATTTGCTACACCAGGGCTATTGGAAACACGAGACACCAGAGGAGTATTCCTCAAAGCAGGATTTACAAGTTCAGCACTTGAATGACTTTGAGCTCAGTCGTCATTAGTCTTACTCTGGATATCTACCTAGATGCTCTGTGGTTGCATCACAATTCTCCTAGCAACCATCACTGACGTCCTCAACTAGCTGTGCGCTAATAATAGCCACATTCAGGATGTAACAATTGAGTTGGACTGCTTCTACTGGACATATCGAAAGGAAGATATGACGGTGGTCGTTAGCCTGGTACTGTTGTTAACTAGCCAACAGGCTGGCATGAAGCACTGAATCAGCTGATTATTGATTATTTTCATAACAAGTACATAAATTAATCAAATATTTCACCATTTTGGGAAATACATGTATTTGCTTTCTTGCCAAGAGTTAGATAAGAACATCAATACCACTCTCATATCTGTCTAGTATGAAGCTTTAGCCAGGAGACCGCTAGTTTAGCTTAGCCTAGCTTAGAATAAGAACTGTAAACAGGGGGAAAAGGCTAACATAACTCTTCATCAAGTTAAAAAATTAAAAGCAGAATCCTAATATAAAGCCACAATTTATACAAAAACTTTTTGCATTGAATGAAATACAGTATAATATGCACTGGTTAGTGAGTTTTAGAGGTGCTGCCGGATGAATTCTGTTTTTACCTCTAGACAGACCCAGGCTAGCCGTTTCCCCAGGTCCAGTCTTTATGCTAAGCTAAGGTAACCGTCTCCTGGCTGTATACACAAACAGCACCACTAAAACTCATTAAATGAAATGTTATACTGTAATTTATTTGTTTAATGTCTGTTAAGTAAGTGTAAAAATGAGACGCTGTGGTTTTATGGAGGAATTACATGACTATTTCTCTGCACAGCACATATAACCCCTGTCTAAAACCACAATTTAGTTTTTCCACTTTGGCTTCTGTACAAATATGTGCTGGTAGAAAATTTTGGTATTGTATTTTGTATTTTTGTTAACATTGTATAGAGCCAGGCTAGCCATTTCCTGTCTTTATTCTAAGCTGGGCTATGCTGAAGTAACCATCTCCTAGCTGTAGCTTCATATTTAACGTACAGATAAGCCAGTAGTATTGATTATCAGCAACAAAGCAAATAAGCATATTTTCTAAAATGTCAAACTATTCCTGAAATCTAAATTCAAATTTGTGGGAACACTTCATCTACTTTAAAGACATTTTAAGAGTTTATTAATGTACAGTATTCATCAACAATTACAACTTCTATAAAAAAGACAGATTTTAAATAATAACAACTGTGTTTTACCATATTGTAATTAATACCAGCATCTACATATTGGTTCCCACAGAAGGAGTTATAGTTGTTGACAAAGTAAATAATACTGAGATCTGCTTACAACTACTTTACAGCGTGTTATAAACAATGTATTAAATGCTGTCTTACTGCTTCTAAATGGTAACAGGGTGGTTTAAAGTTAGCAAAGTTTTCAGCCTGGTGTTATGTCGTAGCTCTAAAATAAGTTAGTTGGTGAGCTTGTGCAACTTGTTGACCCTGTTCCCTGGACTTCTCCTGTGTCTCTACTATTGCTGGTTCTTTTCAGTCCATCTCTGGTAAAGTCACATGAAGTCTGATTACGTCAGCAGACAATGAGAGAATAGAAGCGAAGCATGCCATACTAGTTGGATTTGCCCTGAGCTCCACACACCACAGACAACAACTAGCCAGCCGGTAAAAGCTCTGGGCGCCCTGACTCAGAGATCAGAACAGGTCTGATGTAAAGCCCGACCACTAAGCAGAACCAAATCTTATAAATACTCTCATATTTCCTTCAAGGATACAGTTTTCACTAATAAAGCAATCCACATTTGATGTAAAACACATTCAAGTACTTCCATTTAG